CCGAGAAATATCGAATTCATGGGTAAATTTTACTTACGATTTGGACATAATTTAAGAAAATATCAGTTTTGACCCATATTTAGTTTAGTTTTCACCCAAATAGTGGATTTTCAGAGAAATGTCGAGGTCATGGGTAAATTTTACTAATTATATCGCTTCATTCAGCGCCTCAAAATACTACGAAAATTATATGTGGTTCTCTTGGGTTTGCACTTTTTTATGTATGACTGTGTAATCTTAGACGTTCCGCAATTTTTTCGGTATATTGTCTGTATTAATTTCAACACACTGTTTCGTACATCTCTTTCTTTGATAATTTTGGAGAAATGGTAAACATTTCAAATTTTGCCCCCACGGTCGTAAATTCATATACTTATATTTTGTATAAAAAGCTCGTTGTGTCTTTGTTTCTGAATTAGGAATAATAATTATAAATGATTTTCGTATGTGCCCACATTTAACATTTCTCGACTTTTGTTTCCTTTATAAGTAACTGTAAACTACCTGGAACATTTTATAAAAATTTGTTAATTTCTTCAGCAGATAAAATTATCAGTTTCCTGGTTTTAAAGCCTATTTTTTGAGCAGTGCTATTAATTTAGCATAATTGGCAATAAATACTAACATTATTATTTACATTTAGTGTCATCTTAAGCATATGAAAAAAGGTTATAATGAATATAGTTTTACTGTTTTTGATACTTTTCAAAACATTTCAGTAATACATTCTCCGAAAACAACTTAGATTATTTCTAATGCATGAATTTTTTATATATAAATTCATTTCTTTCCTGTTTTATTTGCTACAATTATTCTTTGTAATTGATGTCAACACATAGGTATACTAAGTACTCTACCGCAAGCTGTTTATTATTCAACCAATCAAAGGCATATATACTTAAATATTGATTTCAGTATATACACAAAAGAACGTTATTAATCATTTACGGTAGTAGAGACGTAGAAAATTCTTACATCTAAAATTTAAATTAGGATTCGTTGAATAATCATCAACCAAGATACGAGTGTGTAACCTGCAATCATTTAATAAGATCAATTTAATTATAAACTTACCCATTGTAATTTTAACTATACACTTATTTAAATTTCCAAATTAAGTATTCACAATCTTCTTCCCGCAAACCTTTTGGAGGATAAGTACATAACTCGCTATTTTTCGAAACTTTTTAGACCCGCGCGCAATCTCGCAATGAAGAAATCAAACAGCAAAGAGATCTTTATCGCAGATGTTTGATAATAACTATTATTTGTTTTTTAAGTATCCGATGGGTGTACCTTTCGCGATAAGGATTTTATCTTATGTTAACTACTGTAAATATGTCAGTCTAAACAAGGGTATGTAAATACAGTAATTACTAAATGCAAAAAGAACGCAAAATGTAAATTCTTGTTCTATATCATTAGTGTCACTTACAAATTTCTATAGACAGAGACGGCGGGTTTTCAAAATTTTAGTTCGAAATTCACTCATGTTTCGAAAAAAATCATCAATTTTTTAAAAAGAGTTCCTGCCCAAACAATAAAAATCCATAGACCTAGATAAATTATCGCAGACAACCTACTATACCTGTGTATCATAAAAATGGGCAGTGATTCCATAGCCGTACTACTTGAGAAGGGGTCAAAGAATAGAAAATTATAAAAAATAAGTTCACGGTGAATATTTACTTTAAAAATCTTATAGACTCGTCTGTCATACTCTCCACAATTGTTGAGTGCCGTTCTTTTGGACGGCAATGGCCCACCAACTTTATCACTTATAATAATACACTGAACTTATAATATATACACAGTACACTGCCTACTATCACTTCACTATAATGGTCAGACATTAACACTTATTGTACAATACACTACACTTATTATACGTACTACATTATGATTAATATGCACATATACATTACTGGTCACTAGCTCTATTACTATCACTGTTATCACTAGAACTGTCGTCTTCATCACTAGAGCTGCTGTCACCTCCAAGGGGTATTATCAGTGGATCAACCAATACATCAACTGTGGTGTCGAGATCCCACATGCGTTGTTCCTCTTTGTGGACATGCATAATGCATTTACTCCATGTTTATGCTGTAACCAGATTAATCTCTTCGTGCAAGAGTAACTTTACATCATGCAATTTAAATGTCGCCTTCTTTCGTGGTACTCCATTTTTTATATGGGCCCAGATTAACTCAATGGGATTTAGTTCACAGTGGTAGGTTGGCAAGCCAAGTACTGTAATCCCATGAACTGCAGCCATTTCATCCACTACATACTTAATGTTTTGGCCTTTTTCTCTCCGTGATTTCCAGTAATTCGGAATTAAGCGCAGTTTCGTCGAATTCGATCTTTTTCGATATTAACCAGTCTATAATTTCCACCTTGCTACATGATGATGTTGACAACTTCTCTACTCGTCCACTATGATAGGGTGCATTATCCATTACAATTACAGCACCAGATTCCACCACTTACACTCTTTTTTTGGTTTCGCGCTATAAGCCCTTCATACACGTTTTTTATCATCTGATATTCCTGCCTTGTTAGATGAGGGTGCTTACCATTACGAGAACACGCTGTAGAGCTCGAATTAAGCCATTTTAAGAAGGCAAACCCAAAATCTCTAATAAATTAATTACAAACACAATTATATTAACGTCAGACTTTTCTCGCGCGTACGCTTATTTGCCTGAGCCGACAGAATTGCCCGGATTCGAATGAACGCAACCCAATTGACGTCATACACCAAAGAGCAATAAAAGTCTAGAATTTGCTACAGCAAAAGAATATCCGGTGCACGCCAAACGAAACCCAATTGACGTCACGCACCAAACACCAATGAAAGTCTAGAATTTGCTGCAGCAGAAGAATTCCTAAAACTGTGCAGTATCGACTGCTGTGGGAGAATGCGGCACAACAATTTTATGCGAAGAATTTACAAACGGCTCGTACTCTTTGTGTTGACTGCTAAAAATGGTGAGCCGGATTAAAGATGAAATCGCTATCTATGATTTTGAGATACGACTGTACATAGATCGAAAGACGCAGGACGGGAAAGTGTATTTTCGTTCATGTTTCGAAAAGTTGCAGATTTTTCTCCCGCAGAGGCACAATTACCGCCGAAACGAAACATACCAGACAATGCTGACGCGCACGCGATCCAGTGCAACTCGCCGATCGTGCAGGAGGTCACCAACAAATGACATCATCCAAAATCTCCCGCCAAGCTGGTTAGATGATTTTTTGATAGCCGCCAAGAGTCACTATTTGTATCATATAATGGCGACCAGCATCGCAGAGAAGCCGCCAAAAGCGCCAAAAAGCGCCAAAATTTTCACTATACTTTCGAAAAATGGCGAAAATTACGAAATCCTAGAAACTCGCACCCCAAAACAACTTCAGTTCTGTTATCATTTTCAGCCCCTTTAAAAACGTGCCAACAGATCCAACCACACGCAGTTTTATAACCCGAGTTCGGAACCTGGCCAGTGCGATCCAAATTTTCTTGTGCTTTCGCATACGTAGATAGTTGCTCTCAATATCTTGTTACTATAATAAATCCTACACTCTCAAAAAATATCAAACCCGCCTTGTAGAACGAAAAAGAGCAACATTCGAGTAAGATATAATATTCAGTTCAACTTCATAATATGACGTCAGTAATCTTTTCTTAAGGTGTGTACCACTATCAATGAATCACTATGCTATTTTGCGAAAACCTGTTGATAATAGTGCGAAAGCGTAGCTTATAAAATCAATGATTGTGATCCAACCAGGGTTACCACCCGTCTCGGTTTCGCCAGGATTGTCTAGGAATAGAATCCTGGCGCGACATTTGGTAACGGCTCCGTGCAATCTGATTGGTCATTGCGCCATTCAAATATGAGATTCGTTACGTGTCATCATTTATAGGAAGCGGTGCATATTTTAAACGTCTTTACTGCATTAAAAGTATACTGGATTCACTGTCCGCTTCCTAGAAATTGATTCTGTAGTTGTGTGATGCTGTATTTGCATTTTGAATTATTTAACCGCTTTAACCCACAACTACAGGTTAAATTTTGTTGTCTTAGAGATTTCCTACTGGACCCATGCCAATAAAACTTGTTCTTTATTTATATGATTAACTTACCACATAGTTTCTAAGAACCAGAGTGCGCAGCTTTTTAGTGGTTAGTATAAATATGTAAAATAGCATTGTTCTCTAAAACTAGTGGGACAAACAAACCAGTAGGCGCGTCACTGAGTCATTACAATAATAATGTCGATGATCAGCAAACGATTTACAGCCTGATCTCTAATCATGACTGTAAACGCGGATATTATTATAATTTTGTTGCTACTTATCGCTCATTATAACAATATCTCCTCTTTCCATGTAGGAAAGGAGCAGTGGTTTCAATAACTCCAAACTGAAGATATTTCGAAACTGATGCAGTGACGTCCGCATACAATGTTATAAATATGTTAAAAATATTAAGATTTATTAAACGATAAATAAAAGATAAGTCTAAAAATATTCCTGAAAAAGCCGTCCCAAAATCGCTCAAATTTATTGTGCACGAAATATAAATTTATCAATTTGATATTTAGTTAAGAGATTCTGATGATGTAATGTGGAGTCACTTTTGCACTTACGTGATAACAAGGCAAATTAACGAAAAAATGTAAGGGAATTCTGTGCTCTAGGAGACGCGTGTGTTACGGATGAATAAAAATTGCATCAAGGTTGTATGCAACGATTGTTTTGTTATTATGATTAAACTCTATTCCCCGCTATAATTTAAGAAATGATTTCCACGGTTCACGATAATTTTCTTAAACTGTAAAGATAATTATAGACAAAACAATACGTAATTTAAAAACGAAACGAAAATAATATTTTTATTTTATAAAAACCTATAACATAAAATGGATGGAATAACAAGTACAATATCTTTTGAAAAAAAAATTATATGTAGTGTCGTAGTATACGAAATCGCCTATGTTTCCAAAATTCGACCGTTGGCGTTGGTCGAGTCGCCATGACGAGGAATTCCACGCCGGGAGTTCTCCGTTCCATCGAACGATGACAACGGCCCGTGCCAAACATTCTCCTGAGGTTGCTGTTGGGAAACGAGGATGAAGAAAATTTCGACTAACTTTCGAAAAAAACCGCGAAAAGTATTGAATTCAAATTCAACCACCTGAAAGACCTCCAAGTTAATATTAACATTGTCTAATGCCATACTTCTAACTTCACCCAAACAGCCATACCAAGCAGGAACGCAGAAATGAAGTGCCACTAAACGGGATCACGCAACAGGCAGATTACCGGAATCCACACCGCAGACGAACGAACGCGTACCCTAGTCCAGTACCTACAGTTATTTAACCAGGGCATAGTACCTGACCAGAGTGTGTACTCGACAAACAAAAGAATTCGTATTCGAAACCGTTGCATTCCTGTACTGTCAAACAAGCATAAATAAATCACATAATCTAAACCTCAACCTGAGTTATCATTTTTTGTATACCAAAAATCCATGCAATAGGCCCATTCAGTGATATATAATTTTAAACTCTTTCTTTCATTTTCTGATAGTATTTAACCACCTAAATATATCTTTAAAAAATTAGGTCAATAGGATTAATAATAAGTGATATATTTAATTCTGAATTTGTAAGACCCTTAAAAAGGTCAACACTGCGAGAGAACAGCTAATGACGTCACGATACCGGACACTCGGCGATCAAGTCTCGAGCAGTCGGAGAGATGTGTAGATATTTGGTTACCTATATTATATACCTATATTTTTAAGAGTATAAATAGAGAGTGTATAAGATATATACACCAAGTCTTGTTGAAATGCATTTTTCACACAACATATTTATTATAAACATAGAATGTCTTGGAATATCTAAATACATTTTCGGATATTTCTCAATGTCGTAAATGGTTCATTTTTCTACATTTTCTGTTGCTCTCCTGTTTTATACAAATGTACCCAACGTACTAGACTCGGTACTTGTGAATGTATGCGACGACGTGTATGTGCGAGCAACTCAGAACCACCCTCGTTTTTCTGTGGTTGCCCGTCTAGGAGGTTGTAAAATATTATTATTTAAATAAATTGCTTATAGGTGCCTCTCGCAACGTATTTCGAAATTTTTGTGGACGGGAACGTTTAGATGGGGTAGAATTTTTTTTTTCGACATAAATTTGAAAATTCTGCTCTAAATGTTTAAATAATAATATTTATAACCCCTTAGACGGGCAACCAAAGAAAAACGAGGGTGGTTCTGAGTTGCTTATAGGTCCCTCTCGCCGACGTATTTCGAATTTTTTGTGAACACGAACATTTAGATAGGGTAGAATTTTTTCCGGCATAAAGTTGAAAATTGTGCTCTAAATGTTCAAATAATAATATTTTACAACCCCCTAGACGTGCAACCAAAGAAAAACGAAGGTGGTATTGAGTTGCATACCGTGGCTGGGTAAACCGTGGATAACATCACACAAACTTTTCATTTTTCGGTAATGAAATAAATATTTTATTCGGAGTCGATCCTGAGGTACTTTTGCAGCCTGGAACTATTCAATATCTGTACAATCCTCGGTTTCGACCCATTTAGACATAAAAACAATGATTAACGAAACTGCCAAGCGAACCACACACCGTATGTATTAACACAGAATGGGATGAGAGCGAGCGGAGTGCTCTGCTAGTCGCCCGTACCGGTATTGTGACGTCAGGCAATGGTTGCTCAACGTTTTTCCGCGCTCTGTTTTCATTAATTTATTTCACACATGTCTCGTTGAAACAAAAAATTGATTTTTGGCATACTAACTAATTAAAGGGTAAACTTTTGAAATATGCAATAAAAAATTTTTACTGAATGGGCCTATTTAAGTTTTCTACAAGCTTTCGTACAGGTACTCCACGGAACCTGTACAAAAATGCATAAACTTTACTATGTTAAAGACAGTGACTTCCAGACATTAGAGTGACAGACCCGCAAAGTGCTATACAGAGTGAACAAAAAACCCGAGCCATAAAAATTTCCAGTGCCCAAATTAGAAAAAAGCAAGTGTCTGTGTTTCGAAGGCCTTTTAGGTCGCATCAACAATACAAATTAGAGTCAATTACGTCAAGAGGGAATCACGTGATATGCCAGGGAACTCTTACACCAGCGAGCAGCAGTCTGACGACCTAGCACCGAGGGTGAAAAAGGACCAGGACAATACAATCCCTCCAATCCCATTATGAGCGTCTACGACCCCCTCATGATGCTAAGAGGAAAGGCCAATATGTCATCTCCACCGTGAGCTAGCGGAACCGAGCAAAATCCACATCCTGGCGCCCAACGTGGCCTTGTTGCTAGATGAAATCCAGACGTATTTGATTCCACGACAGTAGGATGCATTAAAACTTTCAAAATAAACAGATAAAAAACAAATAGCGGAATTACACATATTTTGACTTAATTAAATTAAATGATAATTATTGCATATATTTTTTCTATTTTTTCGGACTGATTTTGAAAAGGTATGTAACTCTATTATATTATGTAGATTATGTAGATTTTCTTTTTTTAGTGCTAATTTCTTTATTTATGAAAACAAAATTAGTTCTGGTATATTATTTAATGTTCGTCCTTTGTTGGGTTTTACCATTAAAATTTGTTCTGGTCTTAGTATGAGAAAAACAGATGGTGGTACTCAAAATATCATAATTATTATTTGTTATAATCTCACATAAGAAAACATTTTTTTATATATAATTTAAATTATTTTTAACTAATTACCTAGACCAGGTAGGTATGCATGATTCATCTGTTTATTCTTACCCACAATATATTTTATATCCTACATGTCTTCTCATTAAAAAAAAAACAATTTAAAACAAATTTAGATAGGAACCACCAGTATGTTTGGATAATTCAAAAGTTTAGTTTTTTAGTAGATTTTTGAATAAATGAAGAATGTTATTATATGACAGTGGCGGGGGTTATAGGACTGAGTGAGGTTCTTTTGCCCATAATTTTTCGACTCTGGGCGAATTGGCATTTTGAATGCATTTTTTAAACCGCCAATGTTTTCTACACAAAAAAGGTACCCTTCATTAAAAGCTCTAACGCGAACCGTTTTCAAGATAAATGGCGGTTTTCTGGTGGAAAACATGAAAGAAAGAGGCAATGTGTTTTGTTGTTAACAGAAACAATTGTTTTCCATCTAGTTGTCCGATTAATTTCATTGTTGGACTTTATTTTTGACAATTGTAGTAAAGAATCAATATCATAGGTACTTATTACACTTATTACCTAATTAATTTAAACTGAAAAAAAAAATATTTTTTTGACACCCTATATCTTGAAAACGGCGCGTTTGCCGACTAATGTTAATAAGAACTTTTTTTATAGAATGAGAAAGAAGAATCACATCCTTCTTTTTCCGACATAGGTTCTGAATCACACTGTGTAATTAAAATGTCAAAATTATATGAAAGTTTTCGGAAAAAAATTATATTTAGTCGCAAATGCAATGTACAAATTCATCTGCGGAATTATAAACGACTTATAAATAATTATTGAACTAACTTCATGACAAGCAAATCAAGCAGATAAATATACAGTACGCGCCTAAAGTATGGAATAAATTCAGTAAAAACGAAACAAATTTTTTTTTGGGAAAAATCCTCGAACAGGTCGATTTTTAATTTAAAAAATACATATTTTAGCATAAAAGGCGATTTTCAACCGTCATTTGTTTTCGAGTAATGACGTCATCGACATTTTTTTAATGGCAACCCCCTATTTTTTTTCTTGATTCTGAAAGATCGTTTCATTGTCGATCCGACAGTATTACAATGTTGCCATCTTACATACGAAAGTTTTCGAGTAAATGACGATTGAATGTTAGAAAACGTAAATTTTATTTATTAAAAAAATAACAATTCCTATGTCAAGCAAATACAATTCATTCAGTTTTCTACCTAAGTGTTCGAATTGCCACCCACCTACTTCTTGACAATACGCAAATCTGTGTAGAAATTCTTCTTGCACATTATGAATTTCATAATGTGCATGAATTATTTCTGGGGTAACTCTGTATATTTCATCTATAATACAATTTTGGAGTTCTTCTAAATTATGTGGCCTATTGACGTACACTTTGGACTTTATGTAGCCCCATAAGAAATAGTCCAGGGGTGTAAGATCTGGGGATCTCGCGGGCCATTCTATCGGTCCTCGTCTGCCGATCCACCTCCTAGGAAAACAATTGTCAGAAAATCTCGAACAGGGCGCGCATTGTGCGGAGGTGCACCGTATTGCTGAAACCATATGATGTCATCAGGAATATCAGGGTCATTATCGTTAGGAAAAATTACTACAAGCGCTGGAACAAGGCCATTTTGTAAACACTCTAAATATCTTTCTCCTGTAAGGGTTCCTTCAAAGAAGAAAGGCCCTACTATTCTGTTGTCAACTATTCCAGCCCACACATTTAATTTCTGTGGATGTTGCGTATGTGTCTCTGCCATCCAATGAGTATTTTCCCGACTCCAATACCTGCAAGTTTGACGGTTCACTGTACCATTGAGACAAAACGTGGCGTCGTCTGAAAAAAGTATTTGCCGGTGTAAATCTCTATTTACTTGACATAAATCCATCATAATTTCACAAAAGTGTAAGAGGCGGTCGGGATCGTCTTCATTGAGTTCCTGCACAAGTTGAATTGTGTAGGGATGATATTTTTCCTGCCTCAGGATACGTAGCACTGTGGTCTGAATAACTTCATTGTTTAATGCAACCAATCGTGAAGTATTATGAGGAATATCTAACATACATAACAAAATGTTCTATTTGTGATCTTCACTAACGCTTGGACGTCCAGGTTTTGGAATATCTACAACATTGCCAGTTTCTCTAAATTTAGGTTCTATCTTACTGACTGTTGATTGGCTGATACGGCGATCTGGATGTTTTTCATTAAATAAATCGCAAATTTCCTGCTGCGTTCTAGTCTTATCCCCGCATCCGATAAGAATTAAAATTTCAATTCTTTGTGTGACAGTTAAATGTGCCATAATACTTTAAATTCAACAATAATTTTTATATCGCT